CACGAGAACTAGACTGAACCAATAAAGTGAATAAATAGTGTAAAGAAAATAAAACAACCCATGAAGGGATATTTACTAAAATGTGTTTCTGTAAATCACGGCTGTCAGATTCTTTGCTGTCGTTGTTGAGCGCTGAAGCAAAACAAACTGATCTCATCTCGTATCAATGCATTTTGCTTTTAATGAAAACATCACAAGAACACAATTTATTAACTTTTTTTTGCGCAAAAAAGGTTTTGTTTTTCCCCACATTGCTATCTGCTGGTCACCGTACGTTAGCACCACCATGTGGCCACTCTGGAAATGTTGTGGCTGAATATTTTTTAAAAAAATAAAAAATATTTACACAATAAAAACTGAAAATGTAGAAGCTTCGTTACACTAGAGTGCTCAGTGAATTTGTATATTTAAAAAAAAAATGTACAAAACATTGAGGCTGCTCTGAATATTGAATTGATATATTATGTTTAATTATATCAGAAACTGTGGGAAAAACAACAAATGGAGCTTCTGTTTCGCTTCAATTTACAGTGATTTTAAAGGAATATGTCACATTTAATTACCACCAACGTCATAGCTTAGTTTAAATAATAACAATCTTAATTTAGATTTCATTTATTTGAGGTTTAACAGCAGTTTAACCCCTAAACACCATTTACATTCACTGGAGACAAAGGAGGATGGCAGCTAACGAGAAATGCTAAGCTAGCTACCTCTAGCAGGAGTTAAACTGCCTTTTCTTGCACTTTATGACCTGATTTAGTGGCTCCTTTATTTAATTATATAACATAACAACGTAAATCATCGGAAATACTATTTATAATAGTAATTTAATCTAATGTAACTGCTGATATGACAAAGCATTGCTCTTAAATGTGCTAAATTCTTGCAGGTGGTTCATGCAGACCACAACATGTTTCACATTTGTACCCACATGTCGGCTAAATTTTAAATCTGTGAAACTCGCTCATTGGTGTGATTTATCACCATAAATGCTTTTTGCAAAGTTAAAGGACAAGAATGACGTTTCATTCAAAACAAATATGGCCGCCACGAACCACAGCCGCCTGTTGTTGCCCATTAAAACCAGTCAGAGGAGCCTCACTCAGACGGCTGTGCACACTGGCTGCAGGTGTTGTTTCTCTGAGTGTTTTCCAGTGCGAGTTGTTCGCACAGCGCTGGTTTCCAGTTACTATTGTTGTCTGTGTAAATGCATGTAGGAGGGGCTCAGACTGACATTTTAGTGCAACAAAGCTGCTTTGGAAAGTGGAGACCAGCAAGAGGCCACCGGTGGAGGGCCGCATAGCACAGCAGCGTCACGCCCAGCGCTGTTTGCACAAACCAGGACACACTGCAGCCAGTGTGTGTGTGTCTGTGTGTGTGTGTGTGTGTGTGTGTGTTCATGATATACCAGTAGGAAGCTTTTTTAGCGACCGATCCGTCCATACCGACTTCTGCTTGCTGCTTCACTAAGAGCAGCACTGTGAGAAATTCCAGTTATTCCTCCGGCGCCGCTGCTCGCCCTTTGAAGAGACACACCTTCAGTTTTACTTTAAATAGCGGCTGTGACGTGAGCGGGCGGTGGGCTCTGTGGTCACCTTAAATGTGACTGTAAAGCATGCATCAGCTGCTCAGAGCGTGACACGTTTACAGCCTTTCACAGGCTCATAAAGACGCTGCTGCTGCTGCTGCTGCTGCTGCTCACCTGCAGCAGTGTTCACGGCAAAAACTCTGATTTATTCCGTTTTATCGAGGTTTATATATTTAGATTACTGACTCATTTATTACAAAAGTGCACCGCTGAAGTGGAATATAGAGTTAATCAAATTCCGTGCCAAGTAATAAACACACAGATGCCTCGAGCAAGGCGGTGTTATTACACGGCAGAAATGCTGTCAGCTGACAGCCGCCATTTATCATCAATATTAACACATCTGACAGTTAATTTAATTAATAATTGTTTGGTCGTTCAGTGCGTAAATCCAACAGTCTTATGAAATAGACCTGTTGATATTTCCCAGGGCTCCAGAAAACATATTTAGATGGATTTTCTCTCTGACTAGCAGTTTAACTGCCAAATCACACGAGTCACATAATAAGCTATCAGCTACTGAGCTCTGCTAAGCTAACTACCATTAGCAGGAGTTTAGCTGCTTTTGTCTTGTACCTTATGAACTGATTTAGCTGCTGCCTTGTTCAATCATGTAGAATAACAAACTTAACAACCATTAAATCATCTCATTAAATGGATATTTTTTATTTTCAAAGAGAAACCAGAGAAACTCCTGTTGTTAGCCAAACTTTGTTTAGGTTTCACCACAGCTAGTTACTTTTAGCATTAGCTAAGGCTAGCTTTGGCTATATCAGAAGCTAGCTTTACCTTGTTGTAGCTCTACAACTTTAGCTGTGTAGTTCGCATCTTCTGTGACTTTAGCTATGTAGTTAGCATCTTCTATAATTTTTGCTGTGTAGTTAGCATCTTCTGTGTCTTTAGCTGTGTTTTTTTTGTTTGTTTTTGTTTTTACTGTAGCTGTGTAGTTAGCATCTTCTATAATTTTTGCTGTGCAGTTAGCATTTTCTGTGTCTTTAGCTGTGTTTTTTTGTTTGTTTTTGTTTTTACTTTAGCTACGCAGTTAGCATCCTCTATGAATGTAGCAGTGTAGTTGGCGTCTTCTGTATCTTTAGCTGTTATTTTATTTATTTATTTTACTTCAGCTGTGAAGCAAACATCTTCTGTTACTTTATCTGTTTTTTAAACTTTAGTTGTGTAGTTAGCATCTTCGGTGACTTTGGTTGTGTAGTTAGCTCCTTCTATGCCTTTAGTTGTGTAATTGTAGCTGTCCTGTGATTTTTAGCTGTGCAGTTACAGCAGTTTATGACTTTAGCAGTGTAGTTAAATGTTAACGTGACTTTAGCTGCAGCTAGCTGTCTTTCTATGACTCCAGCTGTGTAGTTAGCTCATTTTATGACTTGCTAAGTTACCTTTCTACGACCTTATCTGTATAAAGTACACACACTGCATTTGGCTCCTGGTTGCAGCAAATGTACCAATCAGTTTTCTTTCAGACACATTTCTATGGCTCTATATTTTTATGCAGTATAAATGCACTGGGTTCTGCCTTTGTGGACCAGTATCGGGGGTCGCTGGGGGCCAGCGTCAGGTTTTAATCTGGCCATGAACAAACTGTGAGCGGGTTGAACTGCCGTGAGCCGGTCTGAGGAGGCTGGAGCCAGATTTTACCTGCAGACCAGGAAACACAGTCGCTGAGGTGAACGAAGCGTCAGTGCAGCATCTCCACATGGAGCGAGCACACCTGGGCTGCATCACCTCCTCCTCCTCCTCTTCTTCATCTTCTTCTTTTTGCACTGAGCACCTGTTTCATTCAGTTAGGATCTGGAGTCACTCACTGCATCCAGCCGTGAGTACGGATGCTGCTGCTGCTGCTGCATGAGGGTGAATGTAGGAATGTGGAGCGGGTGGGATGCACATGAAGCCTGCTGTGTTGTCGTTTTTGTGTCCTGGGACTGGCGGCTGCAGGACGGTTTGCTGTTGGCTGCTGCGGTGGAGAAGCAGCAGGTCATCGGGGCTGTGATTTGTAATCCTGCTGCGGTTCAGCTGCATGTGGTCGGCTGTTCAGCTCCGACTGCTGCTACGGTTGGAGTGAAGCTTCAGTCAGAGCTGCTAAATGGATAGAAAAATACACATAATCAGGTTTGCAGCAGCGTGTTCGCTGTGCTGCTGCACAGAATGAAAGGAGCCACTGATCTGTCATCCGGAGCTGTGTTAAGAAGTTAAGTATGCTTTCATCTGGTGGTGCTCTGCTGCAACCATCGTCTGGAGTCTCGTCAGTCGCCTCTCAGACTCACATATTACACAAGTTTGCACAAGCAGAGAGAGGAGCTGCTTTCAATAGATTACCAGCAGATACTGGATTAATTAACTTTTAGCACCAGTTTGAGGTTTTCGCTTCTCAAATGTGACGACGAGCTGCTTTTCTCTGCTGTCTGAGCTGTTCATTGTGATTTTGGGAACATGCGATGCACATTTTACTGTAATCATAATACAGAGCAGATGATTTAACACTGAAAATTGACATAAGTTGCAGCATTTTCAGGAAATCCACGGCTTGGCCTCGCCGTCACACATTTGGTTCATTATGCAGAAAATCTATCAAATCTGTGGCTGCAGCTCACAAGTGCATCAATTATTCTGCAGAAAATGATCTTAATTGTCCATGAAGCATAAAAATTAGCGTCTAAATCCGTCTGAAGCTCAAAGATGTTCAGTTTGTAACCAGAAAATAACTCAAGTATTTATCTTTGTGTTTAAATATCAAAACATTCTTTGCTTTTTTAAGTTGAAAAAGGTGCATTGTTAGAAATCTGAGTCCATTTAAATGCCAACAAACTCCATCTGGTGCTGATTCTAGAAAGCAATTTATGCTCAGCCAATAGAAATCTGTGACAATCTGAATCATTGATACGACTTTAATCAAGTACTTCCTGGTTCTGTCTCGTCCACTGTTGGGCAGATTTAACGTCTCTCTAAACTAAATATGTGAGACAGTTTTTCACAAGACAGAAAGAAAGAATAAGAAGATTCTAAAACAAAATAAAAGAAAAAAACAAAACACCTGTAAGCTGATGGAAAACTTTGCACAGAATCATAATCCCAGATGAGTGGATGAATGATTCACAGTGACGTGATGAGTGTTTGTGTAAAACCAACCAGAGAACCGTTTATCGATCAAACAACCGACATATGAAGAAAACCTGCAGCTTACAGCAGAAACTATGACGTCATCTTTATACATTTTCACACATTAAATAACAGAGTAATGGAATAAGCTCCAGCTGAAGCCATCATAGGCAGAAAAACGAATGAACAGTCCACAGCGACGGTGTTTTGACAGTTCCATGTTGTTTTTATGCAGTCGTGTCGGTTATTTGTCCCGTTTTCAGTCTAAACCTGAAGATGTTTGTGTTGTTTGTGTTTCCAGGTAAGAGGAAGCCGGTGCTCAAGCTCCCCCCGGAGGTGTTTGAGCAGCGAACTCCCGCCGCAGTGTGAGTTTCTTTACCTCGTCCAGCCGCATATTCTGCTGCAGGTTGTTTTTATTGATCCTGGTTCATGTGATCACTTTAAATCAGAACGCTGACTGTGTGAAATGAAAGTCTGAAGAACAAACAGGAGGAGAAAGTTCCTGCTTATATCAAATCAAGACTTTATCAGTGAATACGTGCATGAACGTCTTGTTTCCTTCACGTCTTTCTTAATTTATTTACACAATTTCAGTTCGTTAAAACTGCCTGCAGAATTATTTCTGTATTTTTCTTCTCAGTTTTGTTAACGTGAAGCTCAGACGGCAGCAGCAGCACCGCTTCGCTTAAAAACAGCAGCAATGTTTCATGTGTTTAAACTGAATCATCCTCATTAATAAAAAAAAACAAAACAGGATCTTTCTTTTATTTCAAGTAATTTAATGTATTTTTAATTTAAATGTCAATATTGTATTTTTATTTATTTATTTGGATCTATGCAATTACATTCTTATCATATAGTTTTTTAAAAATATTTTTTAAAATTATTTTAAATTTTTAATTTCAATAATATTTTAGTTTTGAGTTTTTCATAATTAAAGATTAGATTTTAATCATATTGTGCATTTTTGTGCTATTTTGTAAATAGTTAAGTTTTATTTAACTGTAGTGATTCTATTAGTTTTTATTCATTTAGTTCCTAGATTATTTTCTCTCAGTGTTTTGTCGGTATTTAGATATTTTTTTATATTTTTATTTATTTAATTATGGTTATAATGTTAGTCTATTTATTTTTTTAATCATAAAACATTTATGTTATTTAGTTATATGTGTGTTATCTGTTATTGTTGTTATTGTATTTATTTTAGTTCAGTTTGACATGAATATTTGTGTTTTTTAAATTTTATTTTTAAAATTAGATTTTTTTTTTAGCATGTTATTGTTAATTTTCTATTTAATTGACTAACTAATGATTTTTTTTGTTGTTGTTTCTTTCTCCTGTTTTATTCTGTGATGGTGTTATCCTGTTGATCATATTTAATTATTGTCCTAAAATCGTTCTCGTTTATCTCCTGATAATCCCTGAACGGATCCATTCATGCTGTTCACATGCAGCGAATAGATGAAAACCATGTGAAGCTCCAGAACTGTCTCCCACATTTTATCTTTAATTACTGTTGTCAGTGTTCAGGCCAACGTTGGTCCGATGAAGTTCAACAGGAATGATGTACTTGTTGATCTTATTCTGGTTTTTATGTGTGTTTGTGTTTCAGACCCCCCAGAGATCTGGACTCCAAAGCTTGCGTAACAATCGGAGAAAAGGTAAATCCATTTCTTCAGGACGTCTTTACAGCCGATTTCATCCCATTCATGTTTTTTCCTCTCTTACATAACTCTGGCCCGTTCTCCTGCTGGCTCTGTGTGTTCGGCTGATCCGCAGAGCTTGGCTTCGTGTTCGCAGTAAAGAACGCGCCGCTGAACATTACGGCCGGATTGAGCACTTCTGATTGTGGGGAGGCTGGAATGCTCTTTATTGCCCATCAGGCAGTAAAAATATTTATTTTAAACTCATCAAATAAGTGGAATTTTCCATTGGCAGAGCTTCCTGCTGTTCCTCTGCTCCAGTTGGCCTCGAGTCAGAGAGAATGTTTTATTTTTTTTTTCCCTTCTTGAATCGTGTAGAAAGTGGAGGGGCAGCTGCAGAGTCTTTAAAGCAGAGATGACACATTCAGTCCCGTCTTCTTCTTCTTCTTCTTCTTCTTCTTGTCGGAGCAGAACTTCGAGGTGAAGGCCGATGACCTGGAGCAGATCTGCGAGCTGGGCCGAGGAGCGTACGGCGTCGTGGACAAGATGAGGCACGTGCCCAGCGGACTGATCATGGCGGTGAAGGTGGGCGAAGGCTGCTGTCCGACCCGTTGTTGTGGCTCATTATTGTGCATTCAGAGTAAAATGAGGACGGTTCCTCGTTCCGCTGCTTTGAAGGAATCAGCGTCTCCACTGGCTGGACTTTTATTAGACCTGTCGTTTCTTTTCCTTTTTAGTTTTAGGATGAGACAAACCTTTGATTAATCCCACAGCGAGGACGTTTGCAGTGTTTCAGCAGCAAAAGGAGCAAACGTGTAGAAAACATTTAAATAAAAAAAACAATAATCTTTTTCAGCTTTTTTACTCAATCAGTTGAAATGTTGGTATTAGTTATTACACTTTATTCAGCTTAATTGATTTATGTTTTATTTGATTTAATTTTTTTTAACCTTTGAATGACCTTGTGAAGGACGAGGTGACGATCAGCCTGCTGACTTATGCAACTGCTGCTCCTATACAGAGAAAACATCAATTTTTCTTTAAATATTCACTTCAGGAGGAACATATGATTTAAAAAACGACCATCTCTTATTCAGCAGCCTCGGCTGGAGGAGTCATCGGTGTCTTGGTGTCCTCCTTCCAGCTACACGAGTCTTTATGCGACCATCACTAAACTCAGATGTTGTGTAGCTCCGAACACCAACTGGCTGCACTTGAGTTGAATTAAATGAGTCACTTTAAAGGTGGTGCATACTTATGCAATCACTTATTCTACAATTTATATCTTTAGTTAACTTTGACAAGCAATAACGAGTCTTTTTAATAGAAATTCTTCTCAAAAAAGCAAAATTAAATGGAGCATTATTGAATAAAAAGGAAAAAAATGGGGTGGAAGTTGTGAGATGTGGTGTGAACCCACGCATGGCTTTGACTGAAGTCATGTCCAGACTTGAGTTGTAGGTGAAGAACTGTGTTGACGTAGAAGTAATAGGCTACAGCTCACCTTAGCTGCTGGTAGCCTAACAGCGCTGTCTGGCATCAAGGTGCATTGTGGGTGATCGTGTGTTTCCTGTCGTTGTGTCTCAGCGGATTCGGGCCACAGTGAACACTCAGGAGCAGAAGAGGCTGCTCATGGACCTGGACATCTCCATGAGGACGGTGGACTGTTTCTACACCGTCACCTTCTACGGCGCTCTGTTCAGAGAGGTAACGGAAACACCGACGCGCTTCTTGTTCTCGTACGTTCATGACCGAGAGGTGAACAAAAAGCCAAAGTCTGTTAAATGAGGAAAAGCTGAACACAGGCGCTGCAGAAACATTCAGTTCTGTGTTAATTAATTGAATAAACTTTATTTGTGTAGGTCAGAGAATTTCAGAGACAAAAAGACAAAAAGAGTAAAAGGATTTGAGATCAAAACAAATGAAGTTAGTGGAAAATTCTATTTTATTATAATGAAACCAACATAATAATAATAATAATAATAATAATAATAATAAAGACAGCAAATATACGTTTGATGGAAAATGTCCAATACAACCAATAAAATGATAATAAACATTTAAAACAACGACTAAACAAATTCATTAATATGAAAATTGGTTTAAAAAAATTCATGAAATTAATAAAATGATAATAATAAAAGCAAATATAAAATGAATTCAGCAAAAAAAATCATTATTTATAATAATTATTATTGTCTTTATAGTAATAATAATAAAAATAATTAATTAAATAAATTCATTTAGTTAATATAGTCGCATTAGTAATAATGACAAAAGCACGTCTAAAACAAAATAGATGCAAAACTCTAAATAATAATTCTACCAATATGATAATGATCACAGTCGTAGAAGCAGAGATGAAATGCTGTCGGTGTAAAATAAGTAATAAATCAAATATTCACAGTAGAACAATAAATAAATGACAAACAATAATGTTTATTAAAAAACTGAATGAAATACAACAACATTGGTATAAAAGACAGAAAAAAAATCTGTCAACAAGAAAAAAAATGCAATTTACATGAAAGAAATCAGTGATAAAAGTAAAACTAATATCCATTAAACTATTTTATTTTTTATAAAAACTGGATAAATCTGCAGCAGTTCAAAGCATAAAAACTTAAAGCTGCTGCTGTGAAAACACTGAAACTTATCGTTTGATCGTCTGTGTTTAATTCTAAACCAGATTTAACTTGTTTTACGTCATGAGGACTTAATTCCACATTTTGCTTTTTAAACTTGTTGCAGCGTTCAGACATGAAAAGAGCAAAAAACAACTAATCTTGATGACAGTTTGGTTAAATTGGTCAAACAAGAATGAGATGTGCAGTCAGAGCAGTTAACCCTGACGGTCCTGCATCAGTGCACGGCTGATCAAACCCTCTGGATGCAGACGGCTTCCTGCAGCAGCGACTGCATGTTCAGGATTTCCTCGCCGTGACTCAAACGATGGGAAATCTGTCTCTTCCCGTCTGTTTGGAATCCGGCCGCTTTGTTTTGCCGCTCTCGTCCAAAACCCTGCCTGTCTGTTGCCAGGGCGACGTGTGGATCTGCATGGAGCTGATGGACACGTCCCTCGACAAGTTCTACAAGCAGGTGATCGAGAAAGGCCTGACCATCCCCGAGGACATCCTGGGCAAGATCGCCGTCTCAGTGGGTTCACGCTCAGCCTGCACGACCGATGTCTGTTGTGAACTCTCACTTGCTTATTGACGGCCTTTGTTATTACAGATAGTAAAAGCTCTGGAGCATCTGCACAGCAATCTGCAAGTCATCCACAGAGGTAAGAGCCTGAGCCGAGACCCGTTCAGCTCTCAGTGTCGGTGTCCACTCAGCTGCTTCTCACTCGTTCCTTCAAACCCTTTCCACGTCCTGCTGAAGGATCGTGACGCTGAAATGTGCCTCTTGTCTGGAGAACAGTGCAGGCTGGAAGTGAGTTACTGCTCCGTGAGATGGAGCTTAAAGGTTTGTGTTGACAGCGAGAGGAAGTGGAGCGGCAGATTGATGCAGCATCAGCAGTAATTAGAGCGCTGAGCTGGGGTTCAGAAGGAGCTGCAAAGGTTCATTAGTCGATCTACTTTCCATCTCTGATCATTAACAAAATAATGAGACAATAAAATTAGCTCGTTTGTATTGATGGAGCCCAAACACAGCAGGAAGATCTCTCTCTCTGTCCTCCATAACGTAATTTCTGCACGTTTTAAGGTCTTAAAAAGTGTCTAGAAACTGGTAAATTAGAGAAACGTCCACGCTTTCCTCACGTCTCTAACGTCCTGCACCATGTACACTTTTTCAAGTCTGCAAAGCTCGTAGTGAGATTCTCCATCATGCACACATCCATCCATCATCTATACACCGCTTAATCCTCACTAGGGTCATGGGGGGCTGGAGCCTATCCCAGCTGACTCAGGGGGAAGGCAGGTTCACCTGGACAGGTAACCAGTCTATCACAGGGCTACACTTAGAGACAGACAACCAAGCACACTCACATTCACACCTACGGACAATTTACAATCACCAATTAACCTCAACATGTTTCTGGACTGTGGGAGGAAGCCAGAGAACCCGGAGAGAACCCACGCTGCACGGGGAGAACACACGGGGAGAACACACAGAAAGATCCCGGGTGTCCTCACCTGGATGCGAACCAGCAACCTTCTTGCTGCGAGGCAACAGTGCTAACCACTGCGCCACCCTGCAGCCCTCATGCACACATTTATACCGTAATTTCCAGACTATTGAGGCACCTGAATATAAGCCCACCCACTAACTTTAAATAGAAAATGTACATATACAGGCTGCACTTGTCTATAAGCTGCAGATGTCCACGTCGTAACATGAGAGATTTACACAGAAAGATTTTTAAAACTTTTAATTAAATCCGTACCGGTGACGTACACAAATACATAAATGCTTTTTTTCTGAACAGTGCCTGGTTAAGAAAATAAAAACTACAGCAGCCTACCAGGAAAAGTCATTGATCGCTATCTTCATCTTCCTCCTGCACTAAAACCACTAAAGTCTTCAGTGTCTTCAGGAGTTGAACAGCCTCAGAGTTATTTTGTCACACACTTCCTCAGTCTCTCGTGTGAAAAAAGTAGCGGCTTATAGTCCAGACATTACGGTAACTCACTGTGACGTTGTAGTTGAAGTCGTCGCTGCTGGACGTTGTATGTGTCTTCCATCGACGGAGCCCAAACACAGTGGAAAGATCTAAAACCTCAGGAATATTTGCCGTAGCCGTATTTCCAGAAAGTAATTTCTATGTGCGTTTAAAGTCTTACATCAGATAAAGTTAAGAAAAACTGCAAAATTTTAAAAAAAAACATCCACGTTTTCCACATTTCTGTAACAGTACGTGACGTGCTTTTTCTCAGGAATGAAAGGTTTTTGCGGCTGTGTGAGGAGATTCTCCATCATGCACATCTTTACAATTAGCTGTCATTGACGTAGTGGCTCCTGAGGTGCATTGATTTGTCCGTGCTTTGCATCGACGGAGCTCAAACTCAGTGGGAAGTTCTAAAATCTCCACAAACCCTGAGCTGTTTCCACCCACTGTGTTCGACACTCCTCAGAAATATCTACAGCAATTTCTATGCACGTTTTGAAGTTTTACATCAGGTTAAGTGAATAGAAACGGCAAAATCTGTAAAAATGTCCAGACTTTCCATGAGTGTGCAACAGCTCACGTGACGTAAATTGACAGGTCTTAAAGGTTTGTGTCTTCGTGAGGAGATTCCACACCTTAATCCTAATAATTCATGATTTAAAAAGCTGAAGCAGTCGCTGTCGGACGTTGCAGGTGCTTCAATCTGTTAACCCTAACCCGACACAGTGGAAAGACCTAAAATCTCCAGAAACCCTGAGCTGTGTCGACCCGCTGTGCTGGATTCATTCAAATATGCAGCGTGTGATCAATATTGGCAGCAGGAATGTTAACTGTACATAAACTGTGGCCACAAAGGTGAAGTTTAAAACCACGTGCTGATGATTTATGAGACGATCCTTCCTGTGTCAAACCTCGGTGACCGCCGTCGCATCAAACCTCCGTGTCGTCATTAGAACGACCACAAGAGACGAGAATAGAGCCGCACAGCTGCTCTGACAATAAACCAGAACCAGTACAGCGACTGTAACCGAGGCTGCTTTGTTTTTCTGTCCAGATGTGAAGCCCTCCAACGTGCTGATCAACACGCAGGGTCAGGTGAAGATGTGCGACTTCGGCATCAGCGGCTACCTGGTCGACTCCGTGGCTAAGACCATGGACGCCGGCTGCAAACCCTACATGGCGGTAAGCAGGACAATCAGCCGGTTTATTTTATCAGTGATATGATGAAATAGAGGCCAAAACAAAAGAAAAGAAAAAGACAATATTAACTAATAAGAAGCTTCTAAAGTGGATTTGAGGCTTCCAGGGTTTATTAGCTGTAACAAATCAAAGCTAATTTTACCAATAATATTACCAAAGTCCGTCTATAAATCTGTTTCTTTCTGACATTTAACACTGAAAACTAGACTTTTGCTCAGCATGTTTGTTGTAAACATTTAACAGCGCTTTGATTTACGCTGCTGAAGGGATTCATGCTGTAAAGAACACAGCAAGAATCTGCAGCCTTGAAATGAAACTGAAACTGAAAAATTGAAAATGTGGCTCATCAACACCTACAGCTGGCTGTTGTGATGTTTGATAATATCATAAAATGTTCTGCTGTGATGTTGCTTAATATCTTAATTGTATACTAAGTGTTGTTTATGTATCTTGTATTATATTGTACATGTACTGTGTGCTTTTTCTTTTCTTTTCTCTTTTATTTTCTTCTTTTTTAAATTATAGTTTTACTTCCTGTTTCACATCATGGCCAGGGGACTACAGATGAAAACTAGCCTTCTGGCTAATTCTGGCTTTTTTAATCATGTGCAATCATGTGTTTTATGAAATTGCGCTGTCCCCTTTTAAATAAACTAAAGAATAGAATAGAATAAAGTGATGGTGACGAGTCTGTAACCGCTAATAAGTCATCCGCACGACCAAAACGAAGCTTCAGATAAAGTTCAGTCAGCAGATGTTTAGTTACGAGTAACGTGTGATTAATCCTCTAAATATTCTAGTTTTTTCTGAAATGTGACATTCAGGATCAGCTGTGATTCTGGTTTTAATGTGACTAATCGTGTATTGAAACGCAGAATGTTCTCATGAAACCGTTTGACAAACACGTATTTCTGTTCAAATAACTATTCAGTGTGATTTGTTTGTTAAGTAGCTTCTTGACTCAGAGACTCGGACTGGGTTCAGACGACGCATGCGTTCGCTGCGATGCGGCTAATTAGCCGATTAGCTGTCAAGTCGTTTCTTGTGTAACTCATTCAGCAAGTTTACAGCCTGTCTAACGACACGCATCACAAAGCCTGAGTGGCTTTACGTGTGTGTTCGCTCCAGAAACTGTTCGCGCTGAAGGCGTCACGAGAACGAATCCAGATTTAGACGTTACAACTTACGCATGTTGAGTCTAATTGGCTGCGGTGGTTTTTCATTTTCCCACAATTATGCGTGACGAATGATGTGTGCAGTTGGGCTTTAATAACCCTCTGACTTGCTGCAGTTATTCATTTCATTGTGCTCTGTGTGTAGCTTTATTTGTAAAGTCGTTGTGGACAAACCGCTTCCAGTCACAGCTTCAGATCGGATCATGAGACACTTGCAGCCTCTGAAATTAAATTAAACAACTGACAGACCTAATTCAGCTTTTATTGTTGTTTATAAGTCGACCTGATTGAAGCCTCGTCTCCCTGAAAATGAGTTTCTAACCTCAGTGAGATTCACCGTATTAACTATCGAACAGCCGCCTTGTTTTGACTAAAAATGACGTTTTGAGCATTTTGTCTTTTTTAGACTCAACATGTTTGTGGTGATTTATTCCATCTCAATTTTTTACAACAATTTCTGCTCGATAAGATATTTATTAGGATAATTTTAGCTTAACATACCTACTTAATCAGTTTTATAAGGTTTCATTTTTGTAATCAAGTATTTCAGATTAAAAGTATTCTTCATGTTTAGTTTAGTATTATTGTTACCTGCAGCTACATACAGAAGAGATCACTTGTTGACCTCTGCATTTTTTTTTGTTACTGTGCTCACAGATGAGGCTTTTCATTAGAGATTCTTTTTTTTTTCATTTCATATTTCAACTCAGCCATAACCAGAGTTTATTTGATCCACATGGCAGATTCTAAATCATGATGAGATAAAACTTTTTATCTTTAATAGTTTCTCAAATATTGTTTCTCAAACAGCCTCAGATTTTAATCTGCAAAAACAAGTTAGTCAATGCACAATTTTGTGAACTTATTGTTGAAAGTATTTGACGCATCGAGCTAAAGTTTCACAGATACTCTCGTAAACATCCAGCGTTGACGATACTAAAGTTTCAGGTAAATCGGAGAAGAACCCTGATGATCTGAGGTGGAATAATCCTGCTTCTACAAACGGCAGAATCGTTGTCGTTTACACTGTTTGAGGTTTTGTGCTTGTAAAATACTGCAGCAGAATTTTCTCTCAGCCTGTATTTAGACTAGTGACACCTAAAAATATAAAAATACTCGTACAGGACACCTGGATACTATCTCTGGACCATAAACAACGATGTTTTAACTTTGAGCAGCAGGAACTCTCGACCACGAGCACAAACTTGGGCCACTAAAAGCCTTTTTATAACTGAGACCTCGTTATTATCAACACATTTAATGAGCCGGTTGCTCTTTAACCAGCCGGCTGCTGATTGGCCGAGAGGCTTTTAGGGCCAGTTTCGCTGCTCGGGGAACATGGCGATCTGTAGAAGTGTAGGACGGCGGGAGATTGAGCTGGTCGTCCTTGACAACCGCTGCCATAATAACCATGCGACCTCGTGTCCTGCAGCCGGAGAGGATCAACCCCGAGACCAACCAGAAAGGCTACAACGTCAAGTCGGACATCTGGAGTTTAGGAATCACGATGGTAAGCCGGCTTCACTTTGCTCGTCTCACCTTTTCCAAATGTCTTCATTACTGCAAAATACATAAAAGTATCTCAAGGGTGAAAATGACTAACAATGAGATGTTAAATATTCATAACTCTGCAGCTCAGACCTGAGAGGATTTCAGCATCAAGGATTCGGTGTTTAACCCTGACTCGTCTTTGTCTCTGGCCATTAGATCCAACAGCTAACGCTCTGAATCTTAATCAGGCTGCTCGCGTATCAGAGGAACATTATGAATTCTGAGGTTTTTATTTTTTGTCTTTTCAAAGCCAGCAATCAGTGTGTGAAGTCCAGCAGAGTTTGATTTTTGGAGAACTCCTCGAGAACTGTCCTTATGAGCCACCTGAACAAGAAAAACTAACTGAAGTGAAGCAGATGACGAGATTTTGTTTTAAATAAGTTGTTCTGAGGGCTGTGAAACATGCAGCGCTGCAGGAACACTGATGAAAATATGAATTATAATAAAAACAGCAAAAGACATTCAGGACACTAAAGCAAATCTGGACACATATAAATCAAATGTTGATACCGTTCAGGGTGACTTCCATTCAGTAGGTAGCATGTGTATGCAGTAGAGGAGGCTGTATTTGTAGGACTGCAGCTGTAGGACCCTTGTTCACCATTAGCCCTTTTTCTTGGGGCCAGAAAACATGGCGATCGCTTGTTTACTTTAAACAAGAGCTAGCTTTTTAATGACAGTGGTCAAAAAAAAAGAACTATGTACAGTTTTGATTGGAATAAACCTTTAGAAGAAAAAACAATTGATTACTAAGTAATTATTATGCAAATATTTTGGTGGAATAAACCTTTGAAGCTACAAATTCTTGGACAGAAAATAGCATTTTTCGGTGGTTTAAACCTGTAAAACTGTAATTACTTGGACAGGAAGTAGTATTTTTACTGGAATAAGCCTTTAAAATTATAGGTACTTCAACAAAAATAGTAATATGGGTCAAATAAACCTTGAAATTTTAAGTTCTTGAACAGAAAACAGTATTTTGGGTCGAATAGACATTTAAAACTGTAAATTCTTGGACAGGAAGTTGTATCTTGGGTCGACTACATCTTTAAAACTATAAATTCTTGGACAGGAAATCGTATTTTGGGTGGAGTAAACCTTTAAAAGTATAAGTACTTGGACAGGAAGTAGTATTTTAAGTGGAATAAACCTTTAAAATGATAGGCACTTCAACAAAAACAATATTGTGGGTCAAATAAACCTTCAAACTTTAAGTTCTTGGACAGAAAACAGCATTTTGGGTCCAACAGACATGTGAAACTATACATTCTTGGACAGGAAGTTGTATATTGAGTGGAATAAATCTTTAAAACTATAAATTCTCGGACAGGAAGTAGTATCTTGGGTCGACTACATCTTTAAAATCATAAATACTTGGACAGGAAGTAGTATTTTGGGTGGAGTATACCTTTAAAATGATAGGTACTTCAACAAAAACAATATTGTGGGTCAAATAAACCTTCAAACTTTAAGTTCTTGGACAGAAAACAGCATTTTGGGTCAAACAGACATGTGAAACTATACATTCTTGGACAGGAAGTTGTATATTGGGTGGAATAAATCTTTAAAACTATAAATTCTCGGACAGGAAGTCGTATTTTGGGTGGAATAAACCTTCTAAACTTGAAGTACTTTGACAGAAACTAGTATTTTGGATCGAATAGACCTTTCATACTATAAATACTTGTAATAAACCTTTAAAGCCATAAGTTGTGCACTTTACCAATCATCCAATTCGGGAACGTGCCGCTGTTACGACAAGCAGTTCTTTGTTGACAAGAGAGAGTGTTGTGGGGGTTTAGCGAGCAACGGACACCATGAGAAAGACTAATGTGATGGCTAATGGTCTCTGAGTTTGGATCTGCTAGTCTTGCAGTCCAGTGAGACGTGTAATGTGTCCGTCAAGAAAAACAGAAATAAAAGCATCATGTTAAGTCTCTGCAATTAATTGATGGGGTAAGAAAACTGTTAGAAATGTGCATCCCTGGAGACGTCATGTTTGTGCACATTTCTCTGTTGGTGTTTCCAGATAAATGCAGCAGTGTTCTGTTATGTTTGTGTCTTTCTTTGTCGTTCTCAGTTTCAGTTCGTGTGACACTGTGTACGTTGGCCGAGTCCGGATTCTGGTGCTGTAAACGCTGTGTTTTTTTCTGTTTGGCTCAGATCGAGCTCGCCATCCTGCGCTTCCCGTACGACTCGTGGGGAACGCCTTTCCAGCAGCTGAAGCAGGTGGTGGAAGAACCTTCGCCCCAGCTTCCTGCCGACCAGTTCTCCCCCGAGTTTGTGGATTTCACCTCTCAGTGGTACGTCGCTCTCCGTGACACTTCTCAGACGAGAAACCGACAAGTCAGACAGTAATTCCCCTTCATCAGGCCGGGTTTATTGCTGCATTGTTTTGTTGTAGTGAGGATGGAACAGGAATGCAGCGTCTATAAACAGTGTTCACCTCGGCTGGAAGCTTTTCCCTTTTTGCTGCTTTGCAACGTGGAATCATGCTCCAATTTGGCTTTTTTTGACAAGAATTCAGAAAAGGCGAGAACGTATTTCTACAGAGTAACGTCAGTTAATTAAAAATATTAAATGTGGGGCACCCGTAGAGCTCACCTGGCTGAGCGGGCGACCCATGAACAGGAGCTATAGTTCGTGAGTTCGACTCCCGCTCATGACAGTTTGCTGTAAGGTCTCTCCCCATTCTTCTCCCCCCTTTCCTGTCTCACCCTCTCACTGTCCTGACTAATAAAGGCAAAAACGCCAGAAAAATAATCTAAAAAAAAAATTAAAAATTCAATGTGAGATAAGTCATCGTCAGCCTTCCAGGGCCTGTTGCCGAAAAGCGTCCCCACATCATGATGCTGCCACCGCCGTGCTGCACAGTGGCATCCATCAAACATAACATCTAGCTTAATGGTTATAAATGCTCAGTTTTGGTCTCCTCAGACCAAAGAACCTTCTTCCTGTTGACTTCAGTCTCCCACATGCCTTCCAGTGAATTCTAGTCGAGCTTTAATTTGAGCTTTTCGCAGCAGTTTCCTCATAAGAATGTTTTTAGCTGTAATTGAGTTCAGTGCCGACTGGTTTTAATTGTGAGGGGAATTGAAGAAGTGATTAAGTGTCCGTGTGTTACATTTCAGTTTTTGAGAAGATAATTAAGAAATTACGTAAGAAATAAATGGAAAATGGTTCATAAGCTGGAGACAGTATCCGTTAGAGTTTCTTAGACGAGTCCTGGAGCGATTTATTGGAACATATGTTTTACTGAGTCACTTTCTTTCCGAGGATCTTGGGTGATAACCTTTTTTTTTTAATGTATAAATACAATATGGGACGTATTTAGAGTACAACGCTGAAACTGACAATGAATTGAATTCTGATTGGTGCTGTGATGAGTTTGGAGCAAAAACAGATGAAGAGAAGGTAAATAAACAGCATAAAGATGGGACGGGCAACAAGTCCTTGGATGTGAGAAGCAAAAACTGGCAAATATTTAAAGTTTTTGAAGGTTAATTATCAGAAACGGTTAAATAATGATGATAATAATAATCTGTTTTTGACTGCTGGATCAGCTGTGTCGTCATCTCCAATCCTTTACGGTGTCTGACAGCGTAAAAGCAGAGCGTAGACACATCCAGATGTTATGAATGAGTGAACGTATATGTAGTGTTAGTCAGAGCAGGTGTAACTACAGCTGAGATCAGAACGTGTGTGAGGATGGAAGCAGCTCGTACGGTCGGCGAACAGTTCGCTGGACGAGGCAGCAGCCAGCGAAGACGATGATCATGACTCATCTGTGTGTTTGTGCGAATGTGTGTTTGAACTGCTGAAGTGCAGAAGTTGTTCTTCTTCTTCTGGTGTTTCTGGCAGCTGCCGAACAGCTTTGTGTTTGGACTCGACGGAAACTGAGTCAAACCTGATTTCCTTTTTCGCTGAGAAAACCAGGATGAATCAGCGGCGTGATCGCGCCAAGTGCATGCTTCTGACTGCGTGTTAAAAGTGTAATAATAATCCCATCTGGATGTCGTTTGAGCTGGAGTTGTAGTGTCCTGGTCAACCGGTTGATCGGTTTGTTGACTCACTCGCATCTGTGCTGCCTTCGTGAGGAGAAGAGTTCTACATCAGCAGCTTTTCAGGATTAATCCGTTGTTTCTGGGAGGAACAGACCTGAGTTTTTACAGGTTTTACTCATAAATAAATAAGAATAGAAGAATGATCTTACCCTGATGGGCATCAAATAAAGAAAGGAGTGAAGCCTGGAGGGTGGCCAGGGTGAAGACCTCAAATCGGCCTTCATGATAATATTAAGAATGAAGTCCGTCAGTCCTCAGAGCAGGACAGCTGGAGGAGGTGGTGGAGACAAGTACGGTTCTGGTGGCAGTGGACTGGCATGACTCGGGAAACCTGCAGAGAAGCTGAAGTGTGAACGGAGTCCATTACCAACAGATGCGATGGACTGTTAAGGTCCAGGGAGGACCACGTTGGAGCTTGTTTGGCGGTTTTGTTTCGTGCCGTCGTGGCGGTTTGCGTCTCGTGGATTTGGGTGAAACTGTCGAACATTTGATTAAACATCCGAACAACAACCTTCTATCACCCCGGTCCAGCCTACCCTCCACTGGCTACCTGTCCAGTTTAGAAGGAATTTTATTGAGTACATTTAAAGCTCCACAAGCTGTATATCAGAAACACTGACCCCCATATGAGCCGGTCTGCAGCCTCAGATCCTCAGATGACTGCTACAGAGTCGAGGTTTAAATCTAAAGGTGAACCCTCGGCTTTGAAATGACTGATGAATCAATATTTCCTCATAATTCACTTCCTCAAACACATTTTTATCCACTTATTTTTAATGACACGACCACTTTTAGTCTCTTTACTCTTTTACTTTGTGCTTTTTATTATTTTTTTTCTTTCTATCGGTTGATGTTAGTTCTGTTTATTTATTCATTATTTTGCATTTTTTCCATGTTTAACTCTGTTTTTCCATCTTTTTTTAATTGATTTAATGTGCTGTTAATAACTTTCTGAGCTGCTTCAGGCTTCATTCAGGCTAGTAAGGCCGCACATTTAGTTTTTGTTTCTGCATCAATCAGCTGATTGAGGAGCTGCTACGATTTCTTTACTCTGACATTTTATTGAGCCGTTTATTTGGCTGCCGTCACCTCGTCAGCGCTGATCATTGCTGTAAAATCCTCCCGTCTGGCTGCAGGTGTTTAAATCTGTGCATCAGTGTGTCTTTGTGTTTCCACCTGTGTGTCTCTTTTTCTTCTTCTTCTTCCCTGTGAGACACGAACGCTGTGAACATTTGCTTCTGTGGATGTTTCCTGCTGCTGGGTTTTGTTTTCTACTTTCTGGGTTGCCTGGTTACACATGCAGGTATCCATGTAGTGGGAAGACACCAGCATTTAACTCTGTATGAGCTGTGGAGGGGCTTTTTTTATTATTTCTGTTCAGCTGCAGGTCGACACATCTGTCCAGCTGTTCCTGCTGACTTCATATTGACCTGTTTTACTCACAATGTCTGATAAAGTGTTGGTTTGTTGGAGCTGCAGGTTATAAACTCAGTAGCTGAGGACTCAGTTCAGTGGTAACTGTGCTGATTGCCTGATCAGCTGATTAACATTTATTGATTCATTGTTTTGTTTTTTTATGTTCCTGCAGCTTAAAGAAAGTTTCCAAAGAGCGGCCGACGTACACAGAACTCATGGTGAGTGTTTGTTTACTGCTGCTGGTTGTGTTTCTGCCACACAAACACATCAGATGGATGAATCACCTGTAATGCTGCTGATCAGACACTGGAGGGCAGAATAAGACTGTTGTTCACAAACCTACAGCGTTCACATCCAGAGACGGATTATTAAAATGAACAAAGAGTAACGGGACAAGTGTTGATGTTTGTAGTTGGAAAACCAATTAAACAAGCAAAAAGAGACACAAACCCAAACGGAGCACAGACTGAAGAGATGTGAAATGACCACCAGGAGATGCAAATGATCACGAACAGATACAAAATCAATGCAAATGGGGCCCTAAGTGACTGCTGTAAATAAGCAAAACACCCAGGAAGAGATGAAAACAGAGCCGATATAGACTAAAGTGACCACTGTAAGGTGCAAAGTGAACACAAACAGATATAAAATGACCACTAAGAGGTGCACACAGACAAACAGATGCTCCGTAACAACAAATAGATGCAAAATGACCATGAAAAGATGTAGAATGACCACAAATAGGTGCAAGGTGACCACGAAAAAATGCAGCATGACTATAAAAATGTGCAAAATGACGGCAAAAAAAAGAAAAATGCCCTGCAAAAAGATTTACCACAATTACAAAAAGATGTAAAATGACGGCAAATAGATGCAGCATGACTGCAAAACGAGCAAAATGGCCACACAAGATGCAACATCACAACAAAATGATCCAAAATGAACACAAAAAGATGCAACAAGACCACAGAACAGATGAAAAACCACCATAAAGAGGTGCTAAATGACAAGAAAAGATGCAACGTGACGGCAAAACACGCAAAATAACTTTTACAAGATGCAACATGACCAAAAAAAGACGAGAAATTATCACAAAAAGTGCAAAATTAACCTGAGAAGTTAAAAAATCAATGCAAAAGGTGCAAAATTCACACAAAGAGATGCAACAAGACCATAAATAGTTGTAACATCACCACAAAAAGAATCAGGATGACCGCAATGGATTGAAAAATGACCACAAGACATGCAAAATGAGCACAATCAATTTAAAACCTCTGCAGAGACACAGTGATGGTTCAAGGTGTAAAACGACCACAAACCACTTCAGCTGCTCCGTATCGGGACTGTTTGTGTCTCATCGTGTGACCTGTTGTCAGACCTGATGTTGTCATGATTTCTCCTCCTCAGCAACATCCCTTCTTCACCTCCCACGAGGCCAAAGAAACCGACGTGGCCAGCTTCGTGAAGGTCATCCTGGGGGACTGAGCTCCGGAGGAGGGAGGATCTGCTCAAAACGAGAAAAAAAAACCAAGCCTGACAAAGAAAAAGCCCCGACGCAGCCCCCGTTACCTGCAGGACTCCTCCCACCCGTCGTCCCGCCTGCCGCCTCCACGTCCTCCCTGCATCACCTGACGTGGTGGGCGGAGCCTCACGTAATCCGGAATCATTTTCTGTATGCAAAAAGCTCCCTGTGATTAGATCCGCAAACCTGCCGGACTCGAGCCAAGTCCTTTGACGCTGAGGCGGTGCAGGCGATGTAAAGATGATATAGTGCTCTCTGTGTATAATCTAAATGTCTGCATACTCGACGCAACGTGTTGCATCAGATTATTAATTGACTGCATGTACAGAGTTTGTCTGTGGGTAGGAAGACGGCCAGTGAGGAGCAGCTATAGACTTCAGGGCCCCCCGGTGGTCGCACACAGGTACTGCACTTCACCTGCTTCGTCCCCCGATTACAGCCGAGGTCGACTCCACGTTTGGGCTCTTTGTGCTGCCTGTGAGTGTGTTCAGGTGTGTGTGTGTGAGCTGCTGCGTGATCTCCGTGTGTTTGTGTGTTTGTAGGGCTGCTGCAGAGGCGGCCCTGCAGCTCTGAGCCGAGACTTTTTGAGGAAATTTTTGCAAGACTGACACTGAATTCCCAACAGATTCTGGTTATTTTTTTAGCTCCTGTCACAAAGTCCTGCACCTCTCTGGAAACAGAACAACAACAAAGAAGGAGAGAGAACTCAGAGATATATTCTGTGCAGAATAACAGTCAGAGTGACAAAAACTTTTGAATTTATTTTGCAAAACATGAAAAAGCCTGGAATCACGTGTCTGCAGGTAATGATTCTGCCTCCACATGCTTTAGATATTTAACCATTTACCATCTACTGCAGCATATCAGCTCCAGACAGATTCCATCTCAATGTGCTGAATGCATCGTCCAACAACTTGCTCCTCTGCTCACTGTTCTTGAGCCGTGCTGCATTTATTTTATTGATCTGATTTGCTTGATTTAAATTTTTAAACGCTGCCTGCACGTCAAAAACTTTGAATTTTTATCCTTTAACTGTCGGTCACAGCTGAGTCGATCATGGCTTCACATTTGCCCCAACAGCAGCAGAATTTTTAGTTTTTTACAGAATCTAGTTGGAGGAAACGGTTTATTTTTAGCAGATTTTTTTTTAAAAAAAGGACATGTAGAATAAAGTGATTTTTATTCAATATTTATGATTTTCAGCTTAGAATTTTTTGCCATGATCAGTTTGACTATCATGTGAAACTTTCAAATTCAATAATTCTCTCAGTTTGTGCAGCTTCTGCCTCTAAAATGTGTGATTTTGGCCGTTTAAAAATAAAAAAGATTACAACAGGTGGTCGGGTTAAACAGGTTAAACTAATACATCTCCGTCTGTTTATGAATGTTTTGTGAGGTACTGTGTTGGATTCTTTAATCGCCTTGACTCTAGTTGTTTTATTTCACTCTAACGAGGCTGTGCGACCACAACACATTTAAAAGTGGTGCGTTTGTATTTTTGGCTGCTTCGCTCCGGATGCAGGTTTGGCTCTAAGAAGTGAGAAAAGATTTTTCTTCCTGGCACAATTTTTTTAAAAATTTATTTTCCTCTTGAGCGTCGTGGCGCCTCTGAGCGCGTGTCGAGTTTATAGCATCACATTAAACACACGCGTCTCTTTGTTGTGTCCACATCTGCAAAGTTCAGGTCAGAAATTGTGTCGGATTCACTGATTTAATGAATTCTTGCACGAACACGTAAATCACTCGAGGATGAAGCTGCAGAGGAGCAACAGGACAAAGTTGCACTTTTTGAAATCTGCATCAGCTTCAACACGTGCATCTCCTCCTCTGGTCCAAATCTGCAAACTTTAAGTCAGAGATCATGTTGAACTCCTTGATTTCTTTGATTCTTACTCAACTTTTTTGACGTTGGAGTTGCAAAAAACACATGAGAGGAGCTGCAGGCAGAACCGTGCTGCAGCCCTGTGAACCACAAACACACGTCTAAGTGATGCGTGAGTGTGTGTGTGTGTGAGTGTGTGTGAGTGTGTGTGAGTGTGTGTGTGAGTGTGTGTGTGAGTGTGTGTGTTGTCGCGGGAGAAGGTTCTCCTCGTCGTCTGTACTGAGCCAATCACAACCCTCTCCACTCCACGTTCGACACGACAGGAACTGGACGTTGTTGCTATTATTATTCTTAATATTATATTAATTATTGTTGTTATTATTTAGCTCCCCGGACGTATTTACTGCAGTTTCTCTTATTTATTACCAAACTGCTGTTCCTCCCTCTGGAAACTTGACCGATCCATTAGAGACTTTTCTCTCGTGTGTGTGTTTGTGTGTGTGTGTGTGTGTGTGTGCGCGTGTTTTTTGTCGTGTTCTTCTTCTTCTTCTTCTTCTTCTTCTTCTTGGCTCGAAATGCTTTGAAACTGTAACTTGCAAGCCTTCTATGTGCCTCTATATAGAAACGGAAAATACTATGTTGTACTAAGGATGACGCAGGGATCAGCTCCCTCCCTCTTCTCGCTGCATGGCATCACCACATCACTACCTGTTTGCTTTCTCGTCGCTCCGGTGTTGTTGTTTTTTTTGTTCGTCTGTCGTTGCCTTTTGGTTCTTGTCTTTTTTTTCTCACGATGGTTTCTGAGGGCAGAACGTGTCCAGCCTTTCGTCTTTATGCAAGTACTCTAATGTCAAAAAAACGGGAAACTTGAAGCGCTGTTACGTGGCAGAACGGCGGGTTGATGTCACACACGGACATTTAAATCATCCTCTTGCCTTTTGAATGTTCTGTTGCTGGTTTGTCTCTTAATATTTCTGCTTTTTTTGTCAGTCTGCAGCCGGTTTATGCAGAGTTCTGGTTACTTAAGCTGGAGTTCCTTAAATGCTCAATCTGTGATCTAGACATGGATCAGAAAAAAGGAATGTAGATCCCAAAAAGAAGCTAAGTTAGTACAAAGAGAAGCAAAACCAGTTCAGAAAGACACTAACCTCTTCGTAGGACGTGCAGACACGCCTCAACGACCTCGACCTGCTAAAATTAGACACAAAATGGGCCTTTGAAGGTGCAAAATGTCCACGTCTTTGCACAAAAATGACAACAAATGGATGCAAAACTAATGCAGAGGCATGAAATCACCACAACAAGGTGAGAGAGGACAACTAGGAGACATAAACGTACCATAGAGATGTTATACAACCACAGATGTTGCGTAAGACTGTAAGAAAACCTTGAAAACTTTACATCCAAATTCATCACAGGAGTTAAACAATCGTTTACTGAGTCCATCAGCTGCATGTAAAGCTGCAGGATTTCTTATTTTTGCCTTTGACTGAATGTTGATGGCAACAGAACACGTCACTGACAGTTTATCGCCTCAGAAAATCATTATTTTTTGCCCATTTTTGCATCCTGGAAGCAAGATTTAGCCTTTTTTTTTTCACACAGCTGGAATTTTCAGGCCGAGGTTCTGAAAACTCTTTGAATGTTTGTCTCGTGTCTGTTGGTCACAGCTGAGCCGCTCGTGGCTTCATGTTTGCATCAAAAGGTGCAGAATCGTCTGTTTTTGAGAGAACGGTTTGTTATTTATCAATCTTTGAAATGAGACGAGTGCAGCAGAACGATTTGGTTGAAGTGTCACCGTGTTCAGTGTAGTTAATCCGACTGAACAGAACTTCTACAACCATAAGTCCAGGAACCAGCACAAAGTTTTCACAGGTTTTAAAGTTTCAAACTCCCTCACAGTGTCCGCTTAAGGTCACTCAGTCACTGGACGTATTGAACCAAAACCTGATTAAACCTGAATGATCAAATCCAGTTCGACAGCTCAGCGCTTTCAAACCTGCACTAAAAGCAGCCGTAATAATAAGAACCTTCACAGATTGAGCCTTTAACGACTCCACAGCAGGTTCAGCGCTTTCGTTTACTGAGAACGACTCTGTGACTCTTCAAGCGAAGCCTGAGTCCAGATCGGTTTGCCGTCAGTTGATCAGGATGTTTCCTGTTTTGTGGCAGACGAAGCAGCTTCCTTCCACCTTCACCTCCTGCTGGGCTCGACTCCCACAACCTGCAGCTCCAGTCACGTCTGCAAACGCATGTTTTCACTCTTGATTCTCATTTTCGCTTGAAGGCGAGTCAGAGGTTTGAGGCAGGAACAGCGAGGACGCCTTCATCAGCACGGTTCTGTGCCAGACGTGGGGTTTTTCCTCTTGAGAAGTTGCCTTTTCGTTTGTCATTGCAAGAAGAAATGATCAAAATTCACAGTTTGAACCAGAATCATCGTTCACCGATCAGGAGAGTCTCTGATCGGACCTCTGACCGGCTCTCATGGCGGCGTTGAGGCGTGTTTAGTGTTTGTTGGTGTTTTAAGTGCCTGACGAAGCTCCTCTGGTGCACATTTACACTAAAACACTGCCGGCTCTCCGTGACGCTGGACCGAGGAGACGCATCCCAGAGTGTTTTACTGAGGTTTGACTCCTAACGTCTGAAAAATCACAAATAATATCTTCATTTTCTTCCCCTTGAGGTTTAAGAAGCAAAGTCTCCTAACTGCCCACAGAGGCAGTTTTTGGAATATTTAAACCCGGTTTTGTTTAGATCCATGTTAACCCTCTGAACCTGGAGCAGTTTTTTGATATTTTTCTTCATTTTTGGTTCATTTTTCCATCGATGTTTGGAGACATCTCAACCATGACACCGTTAAAATGCCATAAATCACAAATTCTAAACTTTTTTCTTAACAAATTGAAAAAAAAACAACTCGTTTGACTTTTGTCCGAGTTACTGACGGGTGTTACCGATACTGTCAAGAAAACAAAATTATTGTACTTCATTATTTACATTTTTGAACCTCTAGAAAGATGCTCCACCATGTTGGATGGATCGTCCAACATCCTGCTCCTCTGGTCACTGATTCTGAGCCGTGCTGCGTTTATTTTATTGATCCAGTAGGTTTGATTTTCCTTTCTCGTCGTCTCCTCTCTGCTCTGTGGAGCCGAGTCAGTCAAGGTTTCACATTTGCACCAAAAATTTATTTATTTATTATTATTTTTTGGATCTTGTCAGAGAAATCAGTCCAGTTTTGGCAAGTTTAAACGCTTTTAATGGCGATAATGTCACGATTTTAAGCTTAGATTGGTTAATTTTCCCGACGGAGCCAAACGTCTCACATGAGTAGTTCGAGGAAAGTCTGAAACTCTGATGATTTTTTCAGTTTTGACGGTTTCTGGTTCTGATGCACGCTGTCATTTTGGTGATTTTTTTTTTCTTTCTATGCTTTTTTAAACCTGCTTGTGGGGTTCAGAGGACTCATGTTGTGTTTGTGCGACTCCTGCTGCAGGTGGAGAGTTCAAACTTAAAACACACCATGAGGAGGTTGAAATGAACCGGACTCGGCCTTCAGCGGTCTCACAGAGCCTCTTGAGTTTGTTTCTGCTGACACTTCAGGTCACGTCCACATTTCAATGGGCTTCGATGAGAGGAGAGTGTTTCCTGTGTCCGTCTGTCTTTGTCCCGGCAGATAAACCATCGCCCAGTAAAAGGGGGCTTTTTATTTCTGTCTCTGAGCGTTCGTACATGTCTGCCTGCATGTAGGGATTTCCCGTCCGCCAGTCTATTTGTGTCTTTTTCTCACCTGCTGAGTAAAGCTCCGTCGCCGGGGGTTACCAGGGGCAGGACGTCCGAGTGGAAGCTGTCCGGTTGTTTTCGCATCCCATCACGGTTCCTCCTCTGAGCACACGATGCGGCTTTTACTGGATTTTACCGGAGAGAGTCGGAGGAAGCTTCGCTCGCCTCCTCGTCCTCGGAGGGTTTGAGGAGGCCGAGGGGAGCTTCGGAGGTTTTCGGACTGGTTCTCTTTTTGTTTGTTTGTTTTTCTGTCGCGCAACACTTCTCGAAAACATGACTTGTGACTCCGTGGAGCTTCGTGTTTCTCTGTCGCAGGTGGTAAACTGCTGGTACACTCAGCTGTATGTGATTCTGATGTTGCGGTGTTGTGTTCTTCTTTAATTCAGGGCGGGGAGGGGGGCAGCGCCACAATAACCCAGAGATGCTACTGTACGTGGACGAGAGTTCTTATCGTCGCTGTCGGGGGGGTGGGGGGGTGGTGGGCGTTTTGGG